AGCAACACGTATCTGCACCACCTGAAGAACCTGCGCGACGCGTGGGGGTGGTCGTCGACAATGTGTTCCTCGAAGGAATCATCAACGAGGCGAAGGAGAGGAAGGAGAAGGAAAGGCAGACAAAAGCAACACCCATCCCTCCACCGCATAGCGCTAACCCCGAACCCCCCGCCAGTCCCGTCACGGGACCCTCGCGCCCCCGCCCCAATACACCCGTCGTCTTTCGCAAAGTCGATCCCGACTGGACACCGGACACCACTCAATGGACGTGGGACAGCTCCTGGCCGAATCAGAAGCACCTCTCTGGCGAGGAATGGATGAACGTAGGGAGGAACGCGCGCAAGGAGTGGTTTGACGAAGAGGAGGACGACAGCGTAGATTGGGAGTTGTATGGAGATGGTGAGCAGTAAGTAGTCGAATGGGACTTCGACTCTGGCAGGGGGGTAATGAAACATTTGTCTTTCCGTTCTATTCCTTGTACTACTAACGCCCATACTGGCGCCTGTCTTAGCGCTCACCCGCAGGTTGAACATTATGTAGCTTACATAATGGGGTCTGTGCGCACTTTGTACTCGGCATTGTACCACTACATTTCTTTCTTCACTAACACGACCACATAGACACAATGGTCCGTGCGTAGTCGATACTTGTATAAGTAGTTGTACCATTAGTCGGTCAAACTCTAAGTTCGACCTGGTTATTCATTCAAGTCTCTGCTCCTCTTCGCTTGGGGTAGTGGTTATTCCCGACTTCCTCGCTCGATCTTCAGGACGACGCACTGTCCATAAGTCCTCGCTCGTCGTCTACGAGTCAGGCATCGATATAGGAGTATAGACCGTTGTATCAGGCAGCCACGATGGATGGGGGGAGGATGGGGAGGTGCGCGTACTACAAAGGCCGTGCTATACTAGCTTACGCTACGGCGCCCGAGAAGACACTAGGGTTCGCAGTTCACGTGGGGCCCAGTACTGCTTTTGACTATTATGCAGCAGGAACCTAGTCCACGCGTCCGTGAGGACAAGTACCGCCCACTGAAGTGCAGGTACTGAAGAGTTCGTTCCCTAAGTGGTGGCGATGTATAGTAGGCTATCTACGTATCATAATGTATAGTAGGGTGCGCACCACCCGACCTGTAGGAAGTGAAAGTGAGTGTTTTTGGGTTCCGATGAACGCCGGCCGCTATGGGAGTTTCGACCTATTGTCGCGACTTGAGGTCAAGCGACAGGGGAAGATCTAAAAGCGGGGGGCATTCGACTGGTTCTCACCGAAGCGATGGTGAGCAATGCTCAAACCTAAGGCTAGGGAGAAGTAAGTTAGCATAGGAGAGTATGTATGTACAGGGGCTTACTGACCTAGGGACAAGAGGTCGAAACTGAGGTCCCTAGGGCAGCAGAGGCCGGCTTATATACAGGGGAGGATAAGGGCAGGCTGTGCGCACTGGTCCGTGCGCAGCTGGTCCGTGCACAGCATGCTGATGTGGCCCCAGGGGCCGGTGAGTCAGAGAGGCTGTGTCAGCGGAGCCCGAGCTGTGCCGCGCACTGCCGCCCATCTAATCTAATCGTACAGTAGATATGATGTGTCCGTATCAGGCAAGTAGTACAGAGGTTGCGGGTTCGAGCCCGCGAAAAGGAAAAATTAAAAAACGGCTAGACGCTGTGCCAACTCGTGACATTACCCCCCCCCCTCAACGGCGCATGACCTCATGCGAGGCACCCTTGCCCATCTCCCACCCGGAGCGGCAGCATGCTTTAGTCAGCGGCGAAGGCATTGGCTGAAAGTTGAGACCACCAAAGACTGCGGCATTGAGGCGACAAGGGGCGTTCGGGTTCTTCCGGTGGAAGTTGGCTATGAGGGCCGGCGCATTGGCAACGTTGCGCGCCGGTTCCCATGACGTGTGCGAGTCGTCATAACCCTTCCACTTGACGAGGTACTGCAGTTGACGCCGGAAGATTTGCGAATCTTTGATCCACTCAACCTCGTACTCCTCGTCACCCTCAACCTCGATCGCAGGCGGCTCCTCCGGCTCTCGGCCCGGGATATCTCTGTGTGTGTACTTGCTCAGCAAGGAGACATGGAGCACCGGGTGCACCGGCACTGATTTTGGCAGAACCAATTCATAGTCCAAATCTCCGAGCTTTCGCCGCACGGCATAAGGTCCGAGGCGCTTGGGACTAAGCTTCTTGCTTGGCTGTTTCAGCTTAAGGTTCCGGGCATCAAGCCAGACCTTGTCCCCCGGCGCAAAGACCGGTGCCTCCTGCACGTGCTTGTCATAGTACACCTTCATACGCTCGGCTGATAGCTCAAGCGCAGAGTGCGTATCATCCCTGATCTCCTTTAAGATCTTGAGCCGATCAGCGGCCGCAGGCATCGCGGACATCGGATTGATCCGAACCTGGATCTCAGGATTGTACCCCTGATGCAGGAAGAAAGGGGAGTGCCCGGTTGCGGAGTGAACTCGGTTGTTCAGTGCGAATTCCGCGAGCGGCAGTTGCCTTGCCCAATCATCCTGCCTGTGGCTTGTGAAAGCACGCAGGTACTGCTCGATCTCCTGGTTCCAGCGCTCAGTCTGGCCATCCGTCTGAGGGTGGAACACTGTAAACAGCGCCGGCTCGATTCCCAGCCCCTTGTACACCGCATGGAGATACTTTGAAGTGAACTGGGGACCTCGGTCTGATATGACCTTGGCTGGGGCCCCATGATGCTTGAACACATTGCGGATGTACAGGTCTGCCACACCTTTTGCCGTCAGGGTCTTGTGACAGGCCGAGAAGTGGACCTGCTTGGTAAAGCGGTTGGCGGTGACCAGGATCGAGTCGAACCCATTAGACTTTGGCAAGCCAATGATCATATCGGTCGTGATGATCTGCCACGGGCGCTCGGGGATCTCGTTCGGCTTAAGCGGACCCTGGGGCTTAGCTGGGAACGTCTTGGTATGGTTGCACACGTCGCAGGTGCTTACGTACTCGTTGACAAATTTAGACATCCCAGGCCACCAGTAGTTCTGCGATACGAGCTCAAGGGTTTTGGCACGACCGCCATGACCGGCGATCGGCGAGTCGTGGTGGATCCTGACTATGTCCCGCCGAAGCTCCGCGTTCTTTGGGACATAGACCATCCCGCGGAACAGCAGCAGCCCTTGCTCGGCATTCCACTCCTCAAAGCCTTTCTGCAGTCTGGGCGGTCCGAGGTTCTGCACCTTTTCAAGTGCCTCAGCCACCTCTTGATCCTTCTCCAAGTACTCCCTGATGCGCTTCAGGAGCGACTGATCCGCTGTCACGGAGGCATGACCGCGCCTGGCGGAGGCGATGCGGAACCTTTCAGGTTTGAGAACTACCTGATCAGTGTTATCGTCCTCATCGCCGGTCTGATGGTCTGATCGACGTGACAGGGCATCAGCCTTTCCATTCGATGTCCCAGCCTTGTGCGTGATGCGGAAGTCAAAGCGAGCCAGGAACAGCGACCATCGTGCTTGATGACGCGTGAGATGCTGGGATGTACGCCAGTACTCAAGGTTCTTATGATCGGTTACTATCTCGAACTGATTGGGTAACCCCTCGAGATAGTGGCGCCAGTCGTCCAGTGCTTCGATGATCGCGAGCATTTCCTTATCATAGATCTCGTAGTTCTGCTGTGCCGGATCCATTGCATGGGATCTGAAGGCGATGGGATGCCATTTGCCATCATCCTGCTTGTGCATCAACACGCCACCAGTGGCGTAGCCCAAGGCGTCAACCTCAATGCGCGTCTCTCGATTTGGGTCATACAGCACCAAGACCGGTGTGGTAGCGAAGAGGCACTTGAGCTCATCGAAGGCGTGTTGCTCTTCTTCGCCCCAATGCCAGGGGTCGTTCCCTGTGAGCCGGTCGAGTGGTCGCGAGATCTTAGCGAAGTCCTTAATGAAGTGGCGGTAGAAGTTGGAGAACCCCCGGAACTTCTGAACATCTTTCTTGTTCCGGGGTACCGGCCACTCATTGATTTCTTTTAGCTTCGCGGGATCCATCGCTACCTCATCGCCACCAAACACATAGCCGATGTAGTCAACTTTGGGAACATCCCATTCACACTTCTCAGGCTTCAGGAATAGATCATTATCCTGGAGGCGATGGAGGACCTCGCGCGTGACCCTATCATGCTTCTCCTGATTGGTGAAGAAGATGAGGATGTCATCTAGGTACACAAGGATCTTGCCACCGACGATGAGATCATGGAAGATCTCGTTCATCATCGCCTGGAAGGTTGCGGGGGAGTTGGTGAGGCCGAAAAACATCACCAGGGGTTCGTACAGACCCCGGTTAGTTACGAAGGCGGCTTTCCATTCATCACCGGCTTTGATCCGGACGTTGTTGTATCCCCATCGGACATCGAACTTCATGAAGAGCGTGGCACCGCGGAGTTTATTCACCATCTCGGCGATCACCAGCAAGGGGTAGCGATTTTTGATGGTGATCGCGTTTAACCGGCGGTAGTCCTGTACGGGTCGAAGCATCCCTTCCTTCTTTTTGATGAAGAAGAAGGGGGACGAGATGGGCAACTTCGATTCCCGTATGTAACCCTTCGCCAGTTGCTCCTTTAGGAACTTGTCAAGCTCCTCCTGCTCATTGTTTGACAGGGGGTACACCTTCGAATGGAACATCGAGTAGCCGGGCACGAGTTCGATCGCATGATCGTACGGTTTCCTTTCGGGTAGCCGTTCTGATGCTGCTTTGGAGAAGACCTTCGGAAACTCGTGATACTGTTTAGACACCGACTCCTCGGTGGTCTTCACGACCTTCTTCTTGATCTCCTCCTCAGTGAACAGCTGGGAGTACGTATGCCCGGCTGCAACAAACAGCTGAGGGGCACCAGGAAGCATAATACCTTGCTCCCAGGCCTCAATCAAGTCAGCTTCGTCCCACTCGACATCTACCGGATCTTCTTCGGGTTCGAAGTCCGGGAGTACCTTACTCCGGCAGGCGCCTATGACCGACCGTTTGGGCTTCGGCGAACGTCTGCGCGCCATGGGCCTGACCCCCGTATCACGCGCAGTCGCTGCTTGCTCCATCCGGCCAGTTCTCATAGCACTGCACGTTTCAGGGCATCGCGACAACTTTAGGGAGCCTGCCTCCCAATCGATCTCAGGGTTGTGCTCGCGTAGCCAATCTAACCCAACGATCACATCTTCTGGACCTATGTCCGTGACCGTAAACACCATTTTCTCAATGTGATCTCCTATCTGCATCTGTAGCACAGCTACTTCCGAGATGCTTTTGTCTTCGTTAAGGGTGCCGTCGATATTGTACAGCGGAATTGGTTCCTTCAACTTCCGCATCTGCACCTTGTTTTCTGTAATGAATCGCTTGTTGATAAACTTTGTGGTGGCTCCACTGTCCACCATAGCGATTATGTCCTTGTGCCATCTTTTCCCCTTGAGTCGTACTGGAATGTGAAAATGTTGGGACCCGTGGTCCACCTCGTACACATTTGCAGCAGATAATACATTATAGCGATTACATGATATACCCAGCCCGACGCGTGTGGCACGAAGCGCGGACCGGATCAAAAAGACTCCTCTTTGAGCGCTCGATAGTGCTCCAACTCCTTGCGCATCGACTTCATCTGTGCTATCAAGCCCGCCAGCTCAGAACTTTCCGATTTCGCTGAAGCGGCGCTTGTACTTGCCGAGGATGAAGCGACGGGGGCGCTTGTCGCCGCCTGGGTGGAACCCAAGGCAACCGTAGCCTGTGTGTCGGCGCATTTTGTGTAAGGCTTGTCCTTACAGTTGGGGCACTCAAATCGTCGGTACCCTTGCTTCCCACAGCCGAAGCAGGTGCCGGGGAAGTCTCCTTTTCCGACGGCCGCATTGATGCTGGCCGAAGCTGCATGCGTCGAGGGTGCACCACCACGTGCCCCTCCGCGCCCTCGTCCTCGAGCCGAGAAGAAGTTGTTTAACTCGGGCCAACGGGCCCGGCTGATGTCGAGGATCTGCTCGACCTTGGTGGCGCGCTTCTCAGCTTCTTTCCATGTGGTGAAGGTCTCGAGCTCAATCTTGCGGTAGACGCGGGAGGGGATGCCGCTCAGGTACTTGTCGTGTAGCTCCAGGTCGCCGTACCCGGAGCGGTCCACCAGACCCTTGAACAGCGCGGAGAACTCCGCAGCAGTGCGTTTTTTGCGGACCGACTTGTCCGCACAGAGTTTGGCCAGCTCTACCTGGGCCGCTGCCTCATCATCGAGGTTGCCGAAGCGGGCTTTGAAAGCCGCGGCAAAGGCTGCTGATAGGCGCCAAGCCCTGCTGGGCCCCGATACACCTCTTTTCGGCACTCGCATCCCACCCGGCACTTCGACCCAGTCTCCCAACAGGTCGATTTCGCCTTCGACGCTCTTCGACACCTTCGACGGTGCGCGACGCTTACTCGAAGCTCGGCACGGTCTTCCCGATGCCTCGTGCGTAGATCTCGGAACATCTTCCGCATTCGGCGAACAATAGGGCCACTTGACGCCGCTCGGCCAAGCGCGCGCTTCGCTCCAAGCCACACCAAAGTAGCCGGTCTTTCCCGATTAAGTATCGAACCTCGCGGCATGCCTTCACGACGGCTACCGGTCCGAAGTGGCCATATGTTACTCTTCATCTCCGCGTTCGGCATGACGTCACTCTACCGATGGACTTGGTATGTGCCTCTCGGTGAGGCAGGTTCTTGAGGAACAATGCAAAGCCCCTTGTACTCGTATGCCACTCTCGAATAGTCGTAGCATCCTGTGTAGTATAAAATCTGTCGTACTTCTCTCTAAAAATACAGGATCCGTCCCCCCCCTCGAGTTCAGAGCTCATAAGTCGAGTTCGCCCTGCGTCTACGTCCTCAACTGCGTCACTTCGTTCCTCACTGCGTAACCTCGAAACCTCGTCCACTGCGTTCACTCGTCGATACCGTCTCGACAAACCCTTCGACTTCGACTATTGTCGAAGAAACTGCGAACCGCACCCTAGCTAAGTACACCCTATCGAATCGTGTCCCTTCTCTCTACGATACATCGAAGAGCTCTGCCGAGCTTCAATCGTCGCTAACTTTCCACAGCTTCCGAGTAGCTTCGACGACGTGTCGAAGCCACCTCGTACCTACCCGTTTGTTCGTAAACTTTCCCAAGGGCGTTTCTCGTGTTCACTCGAACCGCGGGACACCTTGCTGCTAACTCCCCTCTCATTAGACTATAAGCCGTCTCTCTAGTCCCTTTAGGTCGCACCCAGGTTAGGGGTTAGGGTTTCGTAGGTCGTATCATTTCTGGAGCCCACCGCGAGGGGATTTCAGGCAAGAATTCGCCGCTTTCGGGTTTCCGAAAACGTCTCCAGTAGTCACCCGCTCGCAAGCGCGTGAGGCTGCTAGCCGCAGCGCCGCTGAGAACCTCGACAGCTCCTCTAGAACGCAATCGACTCCCTCTCCAACAATCCCCGGTGACTTCGACCGCAACGAAGAAGACGAGATAGACCAAGAACTCCAGGACGACTTCGACGAAGAACCAATCCCTTCGACCGCCGAAGAACACACTTCGTCCCCCGAGCTTCTAGGCCTCACTACTTCCGACTACGACTTTTCGACTCCTGATCTTTTCGAACGATCCAGTTCTTCGCCCAAACCCGAGGATCCCATCCCAGCTACTTCGAATCTCATACTTCCGACTTCGTCTTCTTTTTGCGCCCACGCTCAGCCGCCCATCGCATCCTCTTCGCGACTTTCAGTCATACCTACATCCGACCTGGCACCTCCGCCACCTTTAGCACCTTTGAATGCAGCTTCGAACTCCAACCCCGCACCGCCCGCACCTACGATTCCTTCAACTACTACCGCGTCCTCTTCGAGCCCTGCTCCTACTAACACCACGAACATGAGTCAGAACACGAACACACCATTGATGCCCCCGCGCGGTCATTCGACGGCACCAAGCTTCGACCCATCGGAAGTCCGCTCGCTTCGGCGTTACTTCCAGGACCTCGAAGCGTTGTTCACCCGGTGTCAGATTACCGACGAAGCAGCCAAGAAACAGTGGGCCGTTCGGTATCCTTCGATCGACGTCGCCGACTTATGGGAAACCATCGAGTCCTTCATCGACGTAGCCAAGAGCTACAACGACTGGAAAGCCGACGTACGAGCACTCTATCCTGGCGCCGACGATACAAGAAAGTGGTCGCTGGCAGACATGGATCAGCTCATCGGAGAACGCGCTCGTATCGGAATTCACAACGCGGCAGACCTAGGCTGCTATTACCGCGAC